ATCGTAATCATATGGCTTAATTGTGAAGATTAAAGGTACACATTTAGCAAATGAGTCTTGAATACTAGATCCGTGTTAGATGCTGTACCAGGCACTCACATAAAATGGTGGGCGAGGTGGACGACATGGACAGTCTTGTGGTTCTTTGCGGTTAAATGCCATAGTCAGTTGCTTAAGTAAAGCCTGCTAAGACCAGTATCCATTCCTTCACCATCTTCTTCTGGCACATAAAAAGTACTTAAGAAATGAGATAGCGTTGGACCCATGTGTCTTAGGGGAGAGGAAAGGCATTGTTTTTAGGTATTTATGTATTTGTTTTGATTGAAGCATAACCGATATGTAACATTATATTAGCATCGGGTGTACAGCACGATGATTCAGTATTTGTGTGCATTGCAAAGTGATCCCCACGATGAGTCTCAGAGCTGTCACCACACACGGTCACAAAAACACGTGTGTGATGGGTGCTTTTAAGATTTGCTCTGTTAGCAACTTTCAAACAGGCAGGACAGCATCATTACCAGTATTCTCTGTACAGACATGACTTTGTGTGTGTGTGTGTGTGTGTGTATGTGCGTTATTTAAACGGCAGAGAACTGAGGATCTGTAAAGCTTGTGGAGGTGCTAGGTGCTCCCAGGGAATGGCTCGTTCTGAGTGACCACCGGCGGTCCTCACAGCCGGTCGGGCCCGCTATGCACTTGGCGGTGCTGGGATAACCATGATGTCGGTCACTCGAAAAGGAATCAAGTTGTGGTTCTTGACGGGCATCTGGCTTTTCATTTCGACTTCATTAATTCTGACTCGCCTTTTATGAAGTATATGGGAGAGTGCTGTGAAGAGAGGTGTTCATCTTAGGGCAAAGAGGGGGCCTGTGAGGAGGGGCCGAGGACCACCACCAGCCCTGCGCACCTGCCAGTGGCCCTCGGGGCTCCCTTCGGCTCTCGGGGCTGTTCTTGGGGCCGCCTGCTCACTCACAGGTACAAGTGAGGACGCTCCTGGAGACTTGCCCAGCCCTTGACTTGGGAGCCACGACTGCCCAGGGTGCTTCTTCCCAGGAGACAGCCAGGTCCCAGTCCCTCGTGGGCATGGAAGAAGGAAAGAAGGACAGGGTTGGCGAGGTGGGGGGATGTTTCCAGAGTCTCCCTGTCCCCGAGGGAAGCTCCTCCATGGGGCCAGCACTGGCAATAAGACCTTGTTTCCCTGGCGAGGCCGCTGGCAAAGCACAGATGTTCCGGGCCAGCTTTGCTCCTGTCTCTCACGTCTTTTGCTCAGTCCTCTGCATCCCCCCACTTTCTGGAGTCACTGATATGCCAACCCCCTTGAGCTGACACCAGGAAAGTCTCGTTGGAGCAGAAGGACCAGACAGACACAGAGACAGAGACACGGAGAGGAAGGGAGGAGGGATGAAGGAGACAGAAGGAAAGACAGGAAGAGACGTTCAACTCCGTGACCACTCCAGAGTCGGAGGAGAGGGTGGGCAGTGGCTTGCGACAGCTGGCTGTGCTCCCCTAGAGGGATGGCCAGCTACAGCCACTGTCACATTGGGCTTCACTTATCTCTGCATCTGTTTCCCCATGTGCGAGATTCAGAACTGCTTGCTCCAGAGAAACAATGAGAGCCTTCAGGGCTGTAGGAACTGCCCAGGTGACCGGTGTTTGCTGGTGTTGTGTTTTCTGCTGTGTCAATCAGTGGAGCTCTGGCCTTCAGTTGTTTGGGTTTCCCGTGCGGGGGAGAAAATCACAGTTCACATCTGTGAAATACTCCTTGCCTCTGGCATCTCCCTTTCCAGGCTTGTGGTCCTGGGTTTTGTTTAGGGGCCAGTTTCCAAAAACAGGTCATGAGTCCACTTGTGTGATGAACTCATCTTTCTGATCATAAACTCATTGACAGCAGACACCATATCCAGCCCACACTCTGTTTTCCACTTGGCATTGGACACAGCTTCCATGTAGGAAAAGAGGGCTTAGTAAGTACTGTGTGAGAGTAAGCACAGAGCCTGGGTCGTGCATGCAGTAGCTGGGATGGGGGTGGTGTCCCACTGCCCCTTCCCAGGCCCCCCACAGCTGCCCCTCTGTAACCTCTGGTCTTGGAGGGGGTGAAATTTCCTCTCCCTCAGTCCGTTTCCCATCATCGATTTATTTGTTTGGTCTTTGCCCAAAAGCCATCACTTTTACAAAAAAGTCACGACTGTTCCATCCCAAGAGATGCAGATTCGGGAGCTTGTCAAGTCCTGCACCCCTGCATGACAGGCAGGCAGGACCAGGGCCACAGCATTCACAGGACCCAGCGCAGCCTGGAAAGTTGGGCCCTGCCCCCAAATTATCAAGAAGGTCAGAACAGTGGTGACAAACATCCATTAGCCCAAGCAAGGGGGCCCTCCCAGCATGGCTGCACACCCACATGCAGTAGGGTTGGTTGGGAGTGTGTTTGAAAATCTCAGTGGTGCTGATTACCCAGTGAAGTTCCACAGGGTGGGGGTGGCGGGGTGGGAGTGGACGTTTGGTGAAAATGGGAACTGGCGTGTTGACACCAGTTCATGGTCCTCTGCTCGGTGTGGCCGGCCCCCAGCACACCCACTGTCCGGATTGTACAGGTGGCTGCTGAGGTGGGGCTGCTTCCAGGAAGGGACACACAAGACACACAAGCCAGGTGACTGCCCAGGGCAAGGGCTCTCCCGCCCAGCAGAGCCTGGTCTGGACCTCAGACCATCTGTGTTCTGCTCTGTGGCACTTGTTGCATCTCCCACCTGAGTGGATGGATGCATGATGGGCAACCTGGGAAGGATGGATTGTGCCCCTGGTCTCGAACACAGAGGGTCCCCTCCGTGCCTCGAGGGAGCACACCTTCTCCCTTAGAGCCAAGGTGGGGAGCCATCTGTGGGGCCTTAGGAAACAGTCTGTCCTCTACTTGGGAATAGCTCCGATCTACACTGGGGAACTGGATAAATCAGCCCTACAGCTGAGAAGTTGATAGCCGCTGAAATGAGGACCTTGATGTAGATGTGCAAAACAAAAAGACGTGGTGGATTAAATGAAACAAATAGTTTACAAGAGACCATTTGGAATGCATTTAGCATCCTGTTTTTGTAAAAATCTCTGTGTGTGTGGAAGTTATGGGTCTTTGTAAAAAAAAAAAAAAAAAAAAAGTTGTAAAAAACGTTATCACCCGCATGGCTAGAAGAATCCAAGTCAACATTCTACAAATTCTGTGTTAGCCCAGGATTGGTTACAGCCAAGATTCAAGTTCTGCCATCTGTCTCACCACTCAACACAGGGACGTTTCAAGACAGGTCTGTGATACCACAATAAAACACTGTACCTGCCTTCAGGGAGTAGTGAATCTCACATTCATACCATCCAAAGATGACAAAGATTTTTCTCATTGAAGTCCATCCTGTCTCTTTATAATTGTTTGGACGGTTTCAGAAGACTCATGGATTTTTTTTTTGCCTTTTGTACCTGGGGGTCTATGAGACGCTGGGCATACGGCCGGTTTCAAGCTGGCTCCAGGGGCTGCTTAGTTCAGCTTTGGCCGACTTGTGGACCCTCAGTCTCAGGGCAGACACACAGGTGGGGCCACGGGCCTTTTTCCCTTCTGTGGTCAGCGGCCGTAGCCCTGCGCCGCACAGCAGCCTGGAAAATTCAGGTCACACTTCAGACCTGTTCAGTGGCTTTCAGAAATAGACGAAAACCCCTCCCCATCCAGAAGAAGTGACAGTCATTCTTGTCTTCTTCGTGACTAGTACTGATACTACAGAAATTGAAGATACGGAGTCCACAGGCACCGTAAAGGCTATTATATATATGCATGTATTTGCCCCTGACTACATAGTTCGGTCCCCTGAACCCCCACCCCCACCATCTGTCGCCAGGTCTGCTGCACACTGGCCTCACAGCTCAGATCCACACACCTGAACCAAAGAGACAGAGGTGCACCTCCCTGCCAACACTGAAACAGAGGTGACCTGAGTTCAATTCAACAGATGGACTCAGTTTGTTGCTTAGAGAAGGTCTGTCTTGCCAGGTTGTCCAGCAGAGCATAAATGAGCAGATTTCGTTGAGGTCGCCTGCTGCTGAGGCCACAGATTTCCCTGTCCACGGGGCTCCCAGAGGTCATCCGCTAGGGCACCCACGACCTCTGAGGCCGGGCCAGGACCCCGAGGGCACCCACCGGCGCGTGCAGCGGCTGGTCCTTCGGGGCAGGACATTCCCTCTCACCACCAAGGGCGGCTCTTCCCAGTGGGTTTTCTGTTTTTAAACCAATGTGAGGAGCCAAGCCATGTGTCAGCAAACAGGAAGGTTTGGGTGCTCTCCCGGCCTCGCTTTGCTGCCATTGTGAGCTTCCCTTCTCCCTGCGTGAGTGCACTAGCGACGTCTGAGGCAGAGTCCCTGAAAGAGTGAGGGACAAACACAGAAGCGCCCATGTTGCCCACCTGCCAGGCTGGAGGTGTATTCATTATTGATGGAGGGAGTGCGAGAGCTGCTCACATATGCAGCCCTGCCTGGGTAAATGAGACATTCTTCAGCAAATTGCTTCGTTTTTTGATTGCTGATTGTACGCGTGTCACCAAGCTGACTCAAGGTTCATCGATGCATGCTCAGTAAATTAGAAAGAACATAACTATGGATCAGCCAAGAGAATGAATTCTGTGCCTACAATGACCCAGGGCCATTTAATTTTCTGCTTAATTTTGTTGCAGTCAGTTTGCATTTTGGGTTATTATGCAGTAGGAAATTAACAATAAATAACAAATTTGGTCCTCCTGTGCTTGTAATGATATTTTTATAAATCTTTGTAATGCTGTTTTTAAAAGGATCAAGGTCTGTGCCAGTCTGATACTCCAGCAAGTATGTGAGGAGGAAAATGCATTATTCTTGGTAGATAACCTTGCCGTTAAATACATAGAATGTCTCTCTCTCTCTTTCTTTCTCTCTCTTTCTCTCTTTCATATCTTATTAGTAATTTGCTTTAAACTAAAATCCGTTCCTCTCTTTCTCAGATAACCTGAGGACAATGGACGCTGATGAGGGTCAAGACATGTCCCGAGTTTCAGGTGAGACCCTTGTGGGGTACCTGTATGGGGGGCCCCATGAGGACCCCTCCCTGGGGTGCCAGGAGCCACGGCGCTCGCTGTGTTCCCGAGGGAGGAAGACAGGTTGTCCTGCAAAAGGGAAGACCAAGATGGAATTCGTGTGAATGTTTTATGGCAACTCTTAAGCTCATCCCAGGTTGAGAACCTGAGCAGAATAATCTCCAAGCATAAAATGGGTTTTGCTGGGAAATCCGAGAGCACCCCAGAGAAGGTCCAATAAATGTGGATACTCTTGGGGGGAAATGACTGATGGATCTGCTCTGGACCCCAAACAGGTGCCGATGGTGGTGTTTAAGAGGGAGCAAGAGTGAGGGAGGGGAGCGGGAGAAAGAAATTGAAAAGCATAGTTTTGAGGCACAGGTCAGAATATCTGGTAAGCTCCCCACCCACATACATCTTTTTTTCAAGCCGTATTGGACGTGGCTCTTGTCATTTTGGGAGACCCAGGAAGTGGAGCTGTGGGTAATGTGACATGAGGCCTAAGGGCAGGTCACAGACTGTCCCACCAGGCAGGGCTGAGCCCGTCCAGCAAAGCCCAGCGTAGCTCCTGTGTTCCTAAGCATAGGAAGCCCACCTTCCGTCTGGCCCCGCACCCAGAGGTGTCCGGCTGCAGAAGCAACCTCTGTGGCCTGTGGGTTTTCATGATTTTACCTTTCAGAGCCTCCCAGGCTCCTGGCCAATCCCGGGTGGGCGTCTGTTGGAGAATGGCCTGGCCTGGTCATCTGGGCCTGGCTGACCTGCCCCCCACCTGTTTCTAAGTTTTTATTGAATTCCGCGCCCCGGTCTAAGTCAGTCCTCATGACAGAGACCGGGGCCACACGTGTGGCAGCTCACTCACTGGCGAGTGTGCAGGGGAGGAGATTCAAGTACTTGCCACAATCCCAGACGTCTCCCGCCTCCCCTGGGCCAGCTACTCCGGTCGTTCGGCAAGTGTGGACTTGAACTCTCTGGGCTGCAAAGAAGGAGTTCACCCTAGGGCCGCGCCCACAAGTGCGCAGAGCGTTTCGAGCAGATGCTCACCACAGTATTGACGCTAATGTCCGAAAACCGGGGCACTTCCCTTGTTCATCCTGCTCTTCCGAACAGGGATGGCCTGAATACCTTCATAGCGGAACACGTCCAAGACCTATGCCAACGTGCTGGCGGTGTCCGGGAGGGTGCACAGTGTGATCCGTTCTGTAGGATAAACACACATGCACACGCGCGCGCACACACACTTCCTACATGCTTGCCCATGAGAGAGATTTACTGACCTAGACTTCCCCTGGGGAGTTTGGTGATGGGCTATGGAAGACGGGGGGGTCTTTCGCTTTACATCTAGTATCTACTGTCTTTAAGTTCTATTTGCATTGGTTTCCCTTGAGCACATTCTTTGATTCTGAACCCTGAACCGGAAGTACACCAACAACAAAATATGATTTCAATGAAAAAAAAAAAAAAAAGATGGCCTTTTTGAAGCCTCTCACTGGCGGGGGGGGGGGGGGGGGTCTGGGGGTTGTGGGGCAACGGGCCTGCAGGGGGGGGGAGGGGGGGGGAGGAGGTGTGGGTCCCTCCCCGGGTTAGTGCCCCCCCCCACCCCGCCCGGGGTTTCAGGCCTTGGCTAGAGGGGATTAGCAATTCAAAAACACAGGATGTCAACAATTTCCAAGTGCCAAGAAACCCTTTCATTGTTTTTGCTGTCTCTTGAGGAGTTTCTGAGGTGACACTTGCAAGAAGCATCTGTCCATCTGTCCTCTCCTGTCCCAGAGCCAGAGCTGAAAGCCCCCGGCCCAGGCAGACATCTCCAGAATGTTTCTTATGAGCAAGTCTGTGTCCCCCTCTCCTATCTTCTTCACCACCAGAACAAAAGCCTCCTTTTTTCCCCTCATAGTTTTCTTGCCCTTAACATGAGGCTAAACACTCCATTTTTCCTGGACACTGGCTTTGGAAAGTGGGATTTTGGGGAGCAAGAATGAAGGAGGCCCGTGGCCCCAGACTGCCTGGAAAAGGAAACTCTCCTGTGGGTGAGAAGATTCAAGACTCGATCTGAAATTTACTTTGTGTACACGTAGCAAAGGAAATGCTACTCCCAAAACTCGAAGAGCACTCTTGGTCCACGTAACTTGAAGCGTTCTAAACAGCGAGCAGAGCATCTGAAGGGTCCTGCCGTTGTTCCTAAAGATTTGAAGGATTCTTCTTCTACTTCTTGCTGCTTCTAGAACTAAAACCTAATCACATCCCTTTGTCTTTTCCATTTCTGAAAATTGAGGGGAGTGACAGTTATAGAATAAGAATGTACAAGGGCGCCCGGGTGGCTCAGTCGGTTAAGCGTCTGCCTTCGGCTCAGGTCATGGTCTCAGGGTCCTGGGATCGAGCCCCACGTCGGGCTCCCTGCTCGGTGGGGAGGCTGCTTCTCCCTCTCTCTCTGCCCACCCCCTGCTCATGCACTCTCTCTCTCTCAAATAAATAAATAAAATCTTAAAAAAAAAGAATAAGGACGTACATTTAGTCAAACAGAAGTTGGCATTCTTGATCTGTGGAGGAATATATTACTCAATCCCCCTCTGTCCCCAGAAAATTCTTCACTGTCATGTTCTACCCACAGGAAAGAAAACAATAAACTTTCTAAGTTGAACCAGGAAGTTGCCACTTTCCTGGGTTCAAAAATGCCCCAGCATGAACAGTTCCATCAGTATCTGTGAACTATTCACTTGAAAAAGAAATAATATCTGACTTTTTTTTTTTTTTTTTCAAATCACCTGATTCTTTCTTTCGGAGGGTTTTTCCTATAGGGCACATCTCATTCATTCTTTGGGTAAAGTTGTGTGTGTGTGTGTGTGTGTGTGTCTCTTTCTTCTTTGTCAGCCTTTCCAAAATATTTTTATTCCTGTGCATTATTTTTTGTTTTGGTTTTTAAGGGAAGAGACAGCTCATGGGGGATTGTGAGGCCAGTATCCGTCTCCCATCTTTGTCCCCAACTATGGGCCCTGAGACAGGTTTCTCGCCTCCTGGAAGGACCGCTGTAGTGTCATCTGCAAAAAGAGGGATGTGAGCCAGTTGATATTTAAGGATCATTTGGTTCCTGTGATCCTAAAGGTGTACTGGATGTGTTCTCAATGGTATTTGTGATGTTTGTTAGGACATAGAAACGAGAAGTATGCTCTGTAGACAGACATAGTCTGCTTAGGGAGATGAAGCTCATCTCTACTGAAATAGGAGTGGAAATGTTCATCCTAGGAAATCACACTGATTGAAAGCTTACATTTACCAAACACTGCCCTGAGTGTTGTCTCTTTTCAACTTTACAAGCACCCAGTGAAGAAGATACAGTTACCATTTTCAGTTTGCGTGGAGCTGAGATTTGGGAAACTTCAGGAATGGGCCAGAAGTCCCACAGGGAGCCAGACATGGCACTGGAGTGCAAGTTTTCCCACTCTTCTAGAGTGGGGAGTCTGTACTCTGACTTTTTCTTTACCCCCAGGAATTATGTTCCCCTGGGTAATTGCATACAAAAACACTCATGCACTTGGGAGATGGGGAATCATAGAACTTTGTTGGATGAATTATAATCTACTTGAGAAATTAACTTGCTTGCTTTTGATAAGCTCATTATATAGTTTTCTCATCTAATTTGCCCCAAACACTCCTCATAGGTAATGCTTTATTTGAAGCAAAGGCAAGTAGTAAGATTAAATATAAGTTGCTAAGAAGTTTCTTTCATTTTTCTAAATAAGGGAAATTACATTGCACTTCCTGAATTATTCCATGAGAAGTACTTGATCTCTTGCTGTCTTCAGCTCCACATGTCGTCTGTCTTTGTACATGAACTTGGGGGAAATGCGGGCACTTGATGCTACGCAGACCTCATGCTTTTGTGGTTTGCTGCCATTTAGAAACAACCCTATAGGCTTCTTCAGCATATAAGCATTCACACACGTTATTATTTTATCTTCACAGAAGCCCTGTGAGTTAAGACCAAAATCACGGTTTTTAGCCTCATTTGTCTGTTGGGGAAACCATCTCCAAGGGGTGACTTCCTCCATGTTTCTGTCCGAACCATATCCCAGGTCAACCATGTGTTAATGTTTGGGATGTGTTGACTTAATAACCTTACTTTTGTATCTTTTATGATCTTTCCAAGGTTTTGCATTTTCAGTGGTTCACGGGGCAAATTTTTTTAAAATCAACACGCAAATAATCTTCACTTGACAATGTTTTCACAAAGTGGTACATATTCACCGTAGAAATCTCCAACAGTGAGAGAATCTGGGGGCCACGGGGCCCAAGGGCTCATGGGAGTGAGTCATGTCTCGGCACCACCCAGACTTTGGGGGCTTTTAGGCAAATCAGGCCACCTCTTAAAATCTCTGACCGAGTGAAGGTGAGCCAAGGCTGTGCCCTGTATCTCCTTCTGCTCTCCTCCAGGTCTGACAATTTTACTGGACACCACTGTATACACCAGGGACGACGGTTTACTCTCCCTTCTCCCTGTGTGTTTCTCCCATGTAGGGAGCTCCTGTTGATCAGTCGGACCCATGCATCTTGGAATCACCATCCTTCCTGCTTTCTTCGTTCCTCTTTTCTCCCCCATGCACGAAGCAGTGGGAGAACTGAGGCACAGGTTGTTGGGTGCTGGAGACCTGGCATTTCACTCAGTGCAGGAGCCCGACCAGACCCGCAGAACCCTTAGCAGGCAGATCTAGCATATAAGCATCCTCAACAACGTGTAGTTGGCCTTATTCTCTAACACACAGAGCAGTTAAATTACCAAAAGAGTAATCAAGAGTTACTTGGACATGCTTTAGCTCAGTGGAGCAGAGACAACGTTCCTTCACCGGGTAAGTCCTGATTCTTTACCCAGGATGATCATGGAGTACTCCAAAGGGAAGTGTCACAGGGAAGGTAAAATATGCTCATAAAGCCTAGTTGCTCAGCCTCCCACGCCCACCCATAATAACGGCACCTGGTTGATTACAAAGACACATGTGCACGCCACCTTGCTCTATATTCCTCTAATCTTTGGGTCCGTTGGCTCATCCAGGGGTCTCCACTGTCTCTTCTGGAGGAGGGGGGTCCTCAGGAGGTGTTTGAGAAGGCCGGTGACCTGGGTCTCCCAGTCTCCCCTCCTCCCCGCCCCCCCCCCCCCGTACTATCCCCACTTGACCCAGAAGTCTGGTTTTATGTATTGAAGTTCTGTGTAAGGTTAGTCTTCAAACAAAAAAATGAAGATTCCTCTGACCACCTCCCTGAAGTCCTCTGAGTTTGAGAACCGTTGCTCTAGGCAATGGTAAGGAAAACCCAGTTATCAGATGGTCCATAGACCTCCTGCATTCTCCCGTTCAGCTTTTCCACATCTGTGGAATCGGTATACGAGAACACTGAGACTTTCAGCCACTATTACTCCTCATGAGTTAGAGCCCGGGAAGTATCACTGACCTAACACACCTCGACGAGGCTTTCCCATCACACGAGCCCTTTCGCTCAATTCCTCTCTGGCTTTTTGCTTTTTCTTGGGAAATTCTTACAATCCCGCCCCTCCTTTAACGATGTGTCTTGCATTGGCTGTCCAAATATACCCAATAATGCTCTTTCTGAAAACCTACTGGTTGTGGTGATTGCAGCTAAGCTGCGAATACTCCACTGTGATGTCTCCTTCCTGGAGAATGCACCGCTGTCCCCCAAAGCATCGTCTTGGTGCCTGCCTGCGCAATGCCCGTTCAGCTACCTACGCCCGCGAGGTCTCGTCCTCTGCCAGGGACGCTTGCATTCGTCTTGCCCATCCCCTGAAGTGTTGGTATTGCTCGTCCAGATGGTTATTCAAATAGGCAGGCACACTCCTGTCTTCCTGGCCGTGTTCTCTAGGTCCTTCAACACCGTCCTTGCAGAAAGTCTGGGCTCGTCTGTGCGGGGATGTCCTCCGCCTGGGAAGCCAAGTTGCCAGCCCAGCCAGCAAGCGTGTGACCCCCCGCCTTCCACTTCTCTGTTAACCTCCTTTAGGACCAGCATCTCCGCCCATCTTCTAGAGCAGCTCTGATAGGTTATTTTGCATCAGCTTCAGGCCTTACCATCTGTTCCTTGCATGTGGTTTGTGTCTCCTAACCTAATTTTAAGCGATGTCTAGGTTGGGAGATACAGGTGTTTCAGTTTCAAAGGGAAAAAAACACACACACACACACACACACACATTTTCCGTCAGTCCTGGCTTTCCAGTGCTGGATTTCTGGGGGTGGGGTGGGGGTGGGGAGGGGTGGGTTCCCCATTGCTGGAGCCTGTGGTTGCACGGAATTCTGATGCGGTCACAATAGATACAGCCATCCTGGAAAACCCTGTTTCATTTGGTAAATATCACTTTGTGAAGGATAAGCCACTTCTGAGTTGTGTGGATTCTATTTTTGTGTTTCAAAGATAAGAATTCCACAGAAGGAATCCTGGCCCCAGGAGGCCTCAGATTCCCTCTTCCTGCCTTTTGCAAGCTTGCTTCCCTGCCCCGCCACCCCGCCCAGCTGGATCAAACTAGGCTGCTGGGAGAATATTCCCTGACTCTTTAAAAGCCAGTGAGCAGACCCAGAATGTATAGGTCTGACCAAGATAACCAGTCAGGTGACCTTAAAAACAAATTAATCTGAAGGTGGAATGAAGCCCACATCCAGGAGGGTGTACTGGAGCTTCCTTGCAGGAAAAATTATGGGACAATGTGTGGCAAGCCTTACAAACGCAAGATGCCTGGGACGCCTGGGTGGCTCAGTCGGTTAAGCGTCTGCCTTCGCTTAGGTCATGATCTCAGGGTCCTGGGATCAAGTTCTGCATCGGGCTCCCTGCTTAGCGGGGATTCTGCTTCTCCCCCTGCTTGTGTGCTCTCCCTCTCTCTCTCTGACAAATAAATAAATAAAATCTTTTAAAAAAATGTAGATGCCTTTTGACCCACTCACGAAACTTCTGGAACACTTACCAAGAACACGTGCAAAGGCTCACTACTAGGCTGTTCGCCACGGTGTTGCTTAATAGGGAAAGAGATTGGAAACAATATAAATTCGAAAATAGAAGAAGGATTTAAATAAATCCTGGTGTAGCCATGCAATGGGGCATCACACAGACGTCATGAACAAAGTTGTGGGAGTTTGGTCACTGGCGTGGAAAAGTGACCATGGGAATGTCTGACGACCACCGTTCCTTTTGATAAAATAGATCCCCGACTATTACCCTTAACATCTAAATATATACGTACGTGTGCAGCATCCTTGCTGGCCGCACTGCAGTGACCTCCACCCTCGGTGGCGACCACAGCCCCAGTAACTCAAGCTGCTACTTGTCTCCTCAGGGAAGGAAAGCCCTCCAGTGAGCGACACTCCAGATGATGGGGATGAGCCCATGCCGGTCCCCGAAGACCTTTCCACCACGTCTGGGGGACAGCAGAGCTCCAAGAGTGACAGAGGAGTGGGTGAGTCGACCGTCCGTGTGTCCTGTTGGTGGGCTTTCGCACGCTCTGTTCCCGTAACACCTCGGTTCCTCCATATTCTTCCAAAGTCAGTGGTTGGGTGGTGGGATCATTGTACCTGCTGTTTCCCTTCAACGGCCGTGTTAAGAAGATGTGGGAGCAAGATCAGCGGGAGGGGCCCTGGTGTGTGCAGGAGGGTAGACACAAGTCACTGAGGCTGTGACACCCCCACACGGGGACCACGTGGCAGAGCGGAAGAGCTTCCCGCCATGGGGGCACGTCCCTAGCCCGTTCTCATATCCTCTGGGTGCTTCGGGAACATCTGATTTTATGGATGGTAGGTAGTGAAAATTATACATTTGATGTGCTAAGGCAGTCGGGCGAGTTAGTTTGAGCTTTGCTTTAGAAGAAGCCAAATCTGTCCATGTTATGTTGTCCCTCTCAGCTGTGTTTCTCAAATGCCAAATGCAGCTCCAAATACAAAATTCGAGAGAGAAAAATGGTTAAATGTCAAAAATGCCGTTTCTCGCACACCTTTTCCATAAAGAGGTAGGTGTGTAAGTTTCTGCAGTCTCTCCCTGCTGTTAACATACACAGCACAGGTCATGTTCGCAAAACCTGGTCTCCCCTCTTTATTACGGAGGCCCCAAGAAATTCAGCGAAATAACCGAGGTCACGTACAGAGTCAACGTGAGACTCGATTTCTAACTTAAAGACTAGTTTTCACACCTTTATACCCTGTTCTCATGAGATAATGAGTCAGCAATTCCTTAGAATACCTATTTTCTCTTTCTTTTTTTTTAAAGTAAAAAAAAAAAAAACTGTGATATTGAGATTCACCTGTGTGCACAAAAGGATATCACGAAGGGTGAGCCGGTCACACGCGGTGGGTTGAATCCCACGTGGGGCAACTCCGCAGCTAAGGAGGACAACGTGTGTAAAGTTCTCAGGGTTATAAAAACCACCCTAGCTCTCTCCCTATAGGACATCCTGATATAGTAACTAAGAGATGTGTTTTGTGTGTTTTCATGTGTCTTAGAAACCAGTGAGTCTTTGGGTATTTTCATGTGCCTTAGAAACCAATGAGACTTTGGGTATAAGGGTTCTTTTAAAAAATAGCTATGCAATGAATTCTACCAACAGACAAGGATAGTGGTTAAAGCCATTTGATGCAAATGAACCAAGAAAACAAGTACCTTTATGACTTATTTTCCCCTATTAGAGCATAGCTCCTGGATGTGGGAGAGTGGGTGGGAAGCAAAGCATTTCTGGATTTTCCGCTCCGCTCTATATGCATCATTTCGGGGGTTCCCAGAGTTGGGACACAGGAGAGCATGCTTCTTTGTCATCGATGCATTTATTTTTAAGATTGCCTTGCATTTGTTGCGAGTGATACTGGTATATCATATACCATGCTACTACAACACTTCCATTCAAGACACGTTTACGTGAAGTAGAAAGTCAAATTTCAGTAAAACTCTTAAGCCAGTTGAGGGTGCACATATATGGTAAAGGTTTGCAAAGGTGGCACATGGATGGCTAATGTCAGGGCGACCTTGCTTTGTCTCCTTTGTCTGTCCTTGAAGCAACCAGTGAGGCGGGTACTGTCCTCTGCACTTCGGGTTGCAGCAAGCATGGGCTCATGACCCACCTGGGACCCGGGGCGGGGAGGGGCTCAGAAGAAATTACGTGGATATGTAGCCACTAAGCATTCGAGTGACCCGAGAGCCCAGACATCAGCGTTAGGACTCTGGGGTCATTGCGGGGGAAATCAGGGAGTGCTCCCCAAAATCCCCGGAGCGGCCCTGCAGCCCGTGAGCCCTGGTTGTGATGGGTGTCCTTTAGAGAACTGAAAGTTCTCTAAAGAAGAGAACTGATTCCTGGAGAGCAGAGGACAGCACTCAGTGCACTTGGTAGAGGTCAATACACGCTCCCTACAGATGCCTTCACAGTGTTCTCGATACACGGCCCCCGGTCAGCTGCCAGGGACTGGAAGTTCCTGCTGGGACAAGGTCGCCAGGCTCCTGGTGGGCGCTCCTGCCTGCTTCCCAGGCTGAGTCTCTTGGCTGAGGCTTGAGCTGCGGGTGCCAGCGCGGCCAGGGCAGGTGGGCGTGAAGCCGGGGGCTGGCCCATGACTCCCTGCAGCCCCCCGCCAGTTGGGAGGAGCATGCCACTTCTCCTTGTAGGATGGAGTTTGTGCCAAATGAATTCCAGAATTGTAAAATTTAAAGCACCCGAAAAACCTCTTTGCTGGGTTTGTAAAGAGCCGCTGCCGCGGCCGTGGGGCCACGTGGCGAAAGCCCTTTGAAGTGGGTGGCGAGACACGGTTTCAGGGAGCCAGCACTCCTTAGGAGGGGCCGGGGGCCAAAGGGGCGATGGATCTCTGCCAGGAGGCCCAGAAATGCAAAAGCACCTAAGACAGTCACGCACGCCAGAGGGGAGGGGTTTGAGGAGCGGGTAGTGAGACAGAGAATCCCGAAAGACCACGTCCAAAGAGCCATCAAGGACCTTACTTGTGCTTCCCGGGGACAAAGTTTTAGAAACCATCCTTTGGGATTTTCGAAGGCAACCAGCTACCATTAGTGTGCAGTGGTCGCTGGTTGACTGAAGTGAGCGTTAAACCAGTTAGGTACACACACAGCAATGGGAGACAGTGGGCAAAGGCAGGGGAGTCCTCCCAGGGGAGGACAGGGAGGTACGTTTGAAGCTACATGTCCTCAGCTCAGCGGGAAGGAGCCAGAAGAGCAGGGGAGCTGCTTCGGAGGACAGACAACAGGAAACCATAAGCAGCCCCTCCCTGCACTGAAGTAGTCAAGGGGTGGAGAGGGTGGGTGGCGCAGGGGGAGGTGGCGGCTCAGAAAAGACGCATCTCAGACTCCGGAGGGCCACGTCCATCCGAGCCCCGCTCCCAGCCGGGCGCCTCTGGCCAGACTTTTACCGCGGAGCCCGTTTCCTCATTTTCACAACAGCAGTGAAACTCCTCTCACGGAAGGGCTTCCGGGGTCACGTGAAAACAGACAAACACACTTTGCTGAAGACAAAGCAGCAAAGACTTGCAGTGAAAAGGACAGTAAAGGGCAGAAAAAGGAAGCAATTTGTGCACAGCAGGTCTTTTAGAGATACAGGAGATAAGGGGTGAGGACACCTGTTGGGGCTTCGCTGGAGGGAAGGGAGAGAGGAAACAGGTAATGTTTGGAGCACATTTATTAATGTGGAAGAGCAGTTTATTAATAATAATAACAATAATAAAGAAATTGATCCCAGGGATGGGCAAACCACAAGAGAGGGGTTAGAATAGAGAGCTCGGGGGGCGCCTGGGTGGCTCAGTCGGTTAAGCATCTGCCTTCGGCTCAGGTCATGATCCCGGGGTCCTGGGATCGAGCCCTCCATTGGGCTCCTCGCTCAGCGGGAGTCTCCTTCTCCCTCTGCTGTTTCCCCTGCTTGTGCTCTTTCTCTGTCAAATAAATAAATAAAATCTTTAAAAAGAAAACAGAATAGAGAGCTCAGGGGTGCTGGCCATTGCCAGACCCAAGAGGAAGGACAAATGGCCAGACGCCAGACAGTGGGAAGTCTTCAGCAATAACAGACCCCTAGGGTGTCCGCTTTAGAAGGAGACGGGGGATGCTTTGGAAAAGCCATGAATCCTTACGACCAGGTGTAGACACATCAAATCTCAACCTTACTACCCAACACACCGGTGGGGAGTGGTAGAAATGAGCCCCCTGTGATGCGTGGTTGTGTTCATATGGACAGTGAGCTCTTCCCAGGGTGGGCTTCACCCCGTGTTGAGGGGATGCTGGAGGACCGTGTGGAAATATGGTCTCCTGGATTAAGAGAGAGAGATGGGGAACAGATGTCAGAGCAACCTTGGGTGGCCTCCATTTGATTCCGCACCTGAGTAAGAGGAAACAGATTGGAAGTACAGCTTGAAGCCCTGAAGTCAGAGGAATCAGAGAACTTCCGGGCGGGGAGGGATTCAGTCTACTTAATGGGATGGGAGCTTGTGCTTCTGAAGTGGTCGCTTTAAAAATGAGAGAAATCTCACCTCTCTGAAGTGGTTGTGTATGAAACTGCTGAACGCAGACCGTGTACTCAGTGACCTCTTCAGGCAACCCCGCACTGAGGTGCCCCACCACGGCAGCCGGGCTGGGGAAGTGGAGAGTGGCTTGGGCTTTCTTCCATTGGCCGGCGGCTTTGGAAGGGGTCTCCTGCAGGAATGACGGCAGGCTTGGCATCCAGGGGAGCAGATGAGCATTGCATGTAAAGAAACTAAAAGCTTTGTTATTTCCTTCCTTTATTCAGTGCCCCCCACCCCGTCTTCCTTCTGAGCTCCCTGTGAGTGTAGGTCTCCATGTCCTGACCTTGAGCAGAGGCGCAGCAGTGCTGTGGGACTGATGGGCACATGGCTCCCCCAAGCACAGTCCCCCAAGCACAGCCCAGTTGACCAGCAGGCCAAAGACTGGAGGCTGCCCCGGGGCTGACCAGGGTGTGCCGGAGCAGATACTCAGGATGAGCTTGCACAACTTTTACTACAGACTTACTTGTCACTGGGTTGTCCCTGGTTACTCTTCAGTTACCCAGGGCTTGGGCGTGGGATGGCAGCATACACATCTACAGGCCCTGCTTGCCTCTGTTCACTCGTGTGACCTACCCCCAGAGCTGGGAGGTGATCACCACGGTTTCGTCTGTGGTTTGTTTTAGGACTTCACGCTCGGAGGTCGCGTGTCATGGAGTGGTGTTTGGAGCAAAGCTCTGTGGCCTTCTTGAAGCTAAACTGGCACGGCCTTTGGGGCCTTTCTCTTGAATCTTTTGGCCAGGGTTAGAGTCACCCTGGCAGAAATGGAAAGGAAAAAAAAAAAAATCTAGATTTTTGTTTCTACTTTTTTTTTTCTTTCCCTGGAATCCAGGAAAATGATTAAGTACATGAAAACATTAATTTTTTTTAATTTATTCGACCAAAGTAAAAATCCCTTTACCACGTCGTGAGCTCGAGGACAGATTTGTCAGAAGAGTAACGTATTGTTAATCAGTTATTCTGGTGCCTAATCTCACCTTCATTTTCAAGTTTAGGCAGAATCCCAAGATGGCGCAGGGGGCAGACCTGTGGCTGAAATGTTTCTCGGCTGCTGGGCGGTGGTGGTGGGGAGGCGGGTAAGGTGCAGAGAGTTTTTCCCAATGGAAAGAGAAAGCAAGCTTCGGTCTAATTGGAGATTGGGCAGCCGGCACTGAGGACGGATGCTAAGCATGCTTATCTAATCAGCAGTTAGAGGAAGTTGTTTTTATCTGTGAAATGCATCTCTTCTGAACCGATAAACCCCATTGTAGCTAGGGAGAAATATTATCTCCCAGCATCTGAGCATTAGCTGCAGCGAGCTCAAGCACCCTCGGATGGGATGCGCCCTTGTGAAAGCAGGCGCAAAGGGGAAAACTGTTTGCCAGACTTCAGCTGGCTGGCTCTCTTGGGTTTGGGGTTTTTTTTGTTTTCCTTGGAGGAACAGCTAAAAGCAAAGTATCCCTCGGATCCTTGTTCACCTTGCTGTGTTAGTTCCTTGCTCCTGTTCGTAGCTGAGGTGTTGTGCAAGAGTGGAGAAATTTGTAAAATTCTCCATTACTCATCTTGCGGTTCACCCTGTCTTGGAACGCCTCATGGAGAGGGGAGGTGTTGTCACCAGGACATTTGCAAACCAAGATGATTCCAGTTGGAAAGACTCTCATTTTCCTGCATCTCCCCAAACATGAGACATAGCTTTAAAACAACGATTTTCCCTGAGACTGGCAGGTTTTGGAAAGAGAGGTTGTTAGGTAGCACGTGTGTTGCTTCCTATTTAAAATTAAATTTTGTTTTGTTTTGTTTTAATCGTCTCCACTTTTGATGGCCAACCAGAGCATGTGGGAGTCTGGGCCCTGCAGAGCAGCATGGCGTGTGGGGTCCCTGAGGGAAAAGCAAGCGACCAGGCGCTGCACCAGTACCATTTTGTCCCAGGTTTTGGTGTAGATGGGTGGGACCCAACAGCACAGCATTCAGAACATTCCTTGGAGAAAACGGAAACCGCTGTGTGTGTGTGTGTGTGTGTGTGTGCGCGCACGCGTGCATATGTGTGTGGTGTGTGTTTCTGCGTGTGCTGTGTGTATATTGTCTGTAGTATGTGTCTGTAGGAGGGTGTGATGTGTGGTGGGTGTGCATGTGGTGTGTATGTGTGTATTGTGTGTGGTTTGTGTTTTTGCATGCGGTGTGTGTCTCTGTGGTGTGTATGTGTGCACTTTGTGTGGTGTGTGTTCATGCGTGCAGTGTGTGGTGTGTGTGTGTTCTGGGTGGTATCGGAGGAGCTCACAGTTGTTTCCCTGGAGGAGGATCTCCGGGCCTGGGATTCTGTCCCTGGCTCCGCTCATTTCAAGCTTGCTGGCGGCCCTGGCAGGTGGCTTCCCATCATTTCTGTCCCCATGTGCTGACGGGGGTCACTGCCCACTGCTGTCCTGTGGAAGCCCAGGCAGGGGTTCCCATGGGAGACGGTCCTCCACGGGGGCTGCTGCAGTGTAATCAGTACCTCTGTCCGGTGGACTCGCTGTGAGATGTTCTGCAGGACCTGGGCGGACGTGTGCCTGTGACACGTGCTGGCAGGTGACTTCAGGGACAAGCCCTGATATGGTGACTGCATGAAAAGCCGGCATCCCTCAGAAATGAGGGAGCATACAGAGAGAGCAGGACACAGTCAGTGTAGCCAGACCCTCCGAGTCTCAGGAGAGAGCAGGGGATGAGGAAAAGGCCAGCGGACTGGACGATGTCATTATGCCCCCCACACCCCATGAAGGCACACCCATCTGGAGGGACTGGTGCACGGCTCTGTTCCATTCTGTCCCACGAGGGCCAGCGTATCCTTGCCTGCTTGTGCCTGGACGTTAATGACCACGACGCCCTGGAAGTTCTCGAGGTCAGACCCAGAGCAGGGCCACCACGGAAGGCTTCCCCTGCTGAGCTTACTTGGGGATTTGTGCAGATACCGTTTCTGTTGGCTTAGTGTTTGCTCCAACCTCAGCTTCTCCAACTCTTAGGAAAGTCCATTCGAGCCCATTCATACGGATAGAGCCCTTCTTCGTGCCAGGCTGAGGCTTTAGTGCCAAATGCACCGGGAGTGGTGACCCGACGCCCTGCAGTCATGCTTAGCAGAGCTCACTGACAGGGGTGTAGCAAAGGAAGAGGTGCTCCTCACTGGGCCGGGCAGAGGGGAGAGGAGAGCTGGGGAGGACTCCCAGGGTTGACGTTTGAGCAGGTGGCCAAGGGGAGCCAGGTTGGACTTTAGGAACGGTGGTGGCTGGGTGAAGGGAGGAGGGTGCGCAAGGAGAGGTACAAAGCGACCTGCTCTGGGGCATGAGGTGTGGTACTCAAATGGGAGCCCTCTTGGTGGGCCCGTGGGGAATGACCCTGCCCGACCTGTGTGCTGGGAAGATCACTGGTGACAGTCCTCAGGGTGGCGTGACTTGTGCCTGAGCTCGGGGGCTGTGGCGGGAAGAGCCAGGGTGCTGGGGATGTCTCTCCTCCGTGGCCACCATATTTGTCTACTTACTCAACGTGGGAACATGTGTGAGGTGGCTCAGCCTCCACCTTGGTGATGGCAGTGATTCTCCTGAACAGAATGGGAACACGGTGGGAGTTGGGGTTGACTTGACATCTGCTGGCAATCGGTAGCCGAGGAGCCTTCCGGAAGGCAGGTTGGGTGAGAGGTGGAGAAAGAGCTAGTTCTATTTCTACGGTCTGCGGGAGGGGGCTAGTTCTAGCTCTAGGGTCTGCGGGAGGGGGCTAGTTCTAGCTCTAGGGTCTGCGGGAGGGGG